CAAAGGTCGCATGCCGGTTGGTTGGAAAATTGAAGTAAAAAAAGAAGAGGCAGATCGATCAGCCACGGACCCAGCAACAGGGATCACTGTTGGCCGGCGTAATAGGAAGATTTTATGGTTTTAATCGAACGCGACCATGGCCCGCGATGCTTCTTCCCCCACTCCACGTCCAGTCGCCGTTTCTCTGTCTCCGTGTGTCATTTCACCGTCAATAGGTATTACATAAAGTTTTAGTCTCTTCATAATTCAATGATAGGGGATAGAACGGATAAAACCGAGCGGGAAACCGGCACGGTGCCGCCGATTGCGCCTGAGCCAAGCTGGGAAGTAACGTCGACGGGAAGACGTAGAAGTTCAGCAATTTTCGCATGGGGGAAATTGGCGCGTCGCTTTCTATACACCGGTGCGGTGTCCACGCGAAACGCGCCGAACGCGGTCGAATTCTACCGGTTCCCGAGCCGGTTTTTGTTCACGCGCCGCCCGGTAGCTTCGCGGCGTTTCAACGCGATCGAAAGGGCGGACCCTCTGGCGAAAGCCGCTGGACGATTCGATGGATCGTTGAACAGAATGCCGATTGGAATGTTGAGTCCGATACTGACACCGGTATCCGCTGCTCGAATATCTGTCGAATGTTCGCTCGAATATCGAATAGAATGTTAAGTCGAATGTTAAGTTAAATGTTAAATCGATTGTTAAGTCAAATATCGAGTCGAATATTCATAGCTTCGTGCGATTGGATAAACTGTTAAATCACGTGACTAGTTTAACAAGACCTTGAGTCCGATATTTAAGATGAATTTGAGTCAGGTTTTCGAGTAAATATTCAGTTATGTTTAGCAAATTATGCTAGCTCAATTAAGCTTTAAATATTCAATTAGACTTAAACGTTGGACCCCTAATTGAGTTTAACTCGAAATCGAATATCAGGTTAGGAATCGAGCCAAATGTCGATACTAGGCCTGATATTCGACGTCAAATCGACCATCGAGTCGAAGATTAAATCTAGTATCGAGTCGTGTCTAATCTTACATCGAGTTAAACGTTTAGTCAAATGTGAGTATTCGACCGGATTAAATATATGCGCGAGTACCAGTCTTTAGAGGACGAGGAGAAGGAGAAGGAGGAGTTTATGGACCGGGTGGCATTTAGAACGCTTTCCAATTTCCTTAGACTACTTGGCCTCTGGAACATACACGGTGTACCAGGTGTGCTTCTGGGCTGAACTGCAGAAGGTTTTGAAAAGCCTACAGGATCACGGGAAACTGACGATATTCTAAACGCTTCCTGGATATATTGAATCACACGATTACTCATTTGACGAAGTAATTGGAACCTTTTGGTAATACGACCCACAAATATTGTTTTATTTAACATGCGTGTGAGTAATAACTTTCATATCTGTAGGTTACAAAGAAACGTACTGTGTGGATCTTCAATACCGTTCCTGATTATATAAATTCAGGTTTTTGCCTGAAAGGTAACACATATACGCAACAACGTGTTGCGTGATTTACTTCGTTGCATAACGCATAATGACATACTTATTTAAAATGAAATAATTAGCCACGCACTGAAATCCAACAGTCACCTTTATTTATGATAATCTGTCTTCAATTCCAGCTTCCGAGTCCGCCAAGTATATTATTGGAGGAAGAAATGCCGCGAAATTCAAAAGTGCAACAGCAGGAAGGAAAAGGAAGAGTAGATTCCTACGACCCACCAACCTAATCTGACCGAAGTACGGTCCACTCTAATAGAGTCACTATCGCTCAGCGACATCTCTATGGTGGAAGGAGTAACCGTACAACGTTTCAGGTAGCCCGGTACACGCATTGCAACAACGCGAAACAACGCCGGCAAACGAGCCGACACGAGGGATTCTTCGAGTGGAAACAACAGGAGAGAAGGTAGTCTCGAAGGGCCGAGGTGAGAAACAAAGTTTCTCGCCGTCTCTCAACAATGGGAAGCGTCCTACCCCATGGAATGTATATACACGTGCACAGATAACGTCAGAACACGAGCATGAACCGACGATAATGTCTAGTAGAAATAATTTCGAAATAAGCTCACTGGAAAGCTTTTTCTCCCACTAATTTCATGATTTTGATGTCTTTAAAAATTGAATTTTAGAAATCTATGACTGGACTCGATTTCCGTTCGCTTTCTAAAATTAATAAGATAAGTATGACACTTTAAAATTATGGCGAAGTCTTGTAGCTTCCTTTAATTTTTCATTGAAAATTTATTTTCAGGTATATGTACTTTTCATTATAACTATGGACCCAAACCACTGTGTAGAATCTACAGTACAAGTATTAATTTGCAAGTATTAATTATTCGAATAATGGCACACCGAAATTTATGGTGTGAAAGAAAATAAGACAGGGAATAGCAAAAACGTCGACACAAGAACGGCGTGTATTTGTGAATGTTCCTGAAAGCATATATAAACTTAATAACATTCGTTAAAAGTCTCATGAATAGACATCGAACTCTTGTGAATGCTCATTAATCCGGGATTAAAAGAGATCCAATTCGCTTAGAATAGTAATTAACACTGAATCGCCGTAATTAATCCCGTGATAAAGTATGCGCGAGTACAGTCTTATGCATTCATCGGTTATCGATTTGGTTAGCCCAATGAACGAGATCAAATTACAGAAGCAGAGAGAGACAGACGTAGTGTTGTCGCTGCTGGTAAACGTCATCAACGGTAATTAATAAACAGACTGCGGGAAGGTTGGTACGATTATGATAAAACAGGGTTATACTCGATAATCGTCGACCATAACAATCGAGTACGCTTATCTTGAAACCATAAAGCTGCTGACTACCCGGCACGCCATAAACTAGACGCAGATCTAGATACTACGTAGAGCGGAATGGGAATTAATAACAAGCGAATAGTGAGGAGATCGTCACGATGCGAACCACGACTGGCGGTTTGATCGGTTAACAAACTGTTTAATAATGCAGTCTGCCATCTGCACAGGTGTGAAACACGGTTAAACAAAAACACGCATGTTCCTCATAATTAGCGCGCGCAGCTCAAATTAGAACTAGTCACAATGGAGGGGGATGACTAACGAACCAACGTCGCGTCACCGCTCATTGACCAACGCACTGGCAACTAGATTGTGTTTACATTTCAGATGAACAACGTTATACGAAAGCCTTAACCGCACAACACTCGTTTTAAAAAGATTGATTTTCGCGCTGCGTGCTCCGTCACTACTTACACGCATGCATAGTGACAACACGGCGTGCACACGAGAATAAAGCGGACACTCGATGCGCGAGAAATTCGAAACGTTCAATTCTCCAACGCACGTGTCACGATCACGTTCACGGGGAATAAGAACGATAGTAGATCGACCTGCGAGATACACTGCATATCGCCAAGTATTTTTCTCTCGTTAGTTCGTGACAGGCATAGAGTAATGAATAAGTAGGTGCACACGATGCGTCGAGCGTGCACGGATGTGTTTTCGTGGTTAAGTACGGCCCCTTTCTTCTTGTTTTGTTTCGTGTTCGTAGCGACTCGCGTTTACGCGGCCCCGCAGGCGCGGTTATTTCTAGCGCCAATTATTCACGAGAACGCGATGAAATTTTGAAATAGCATCCTCTCGTCAAATCCAGGTTAAGTCCGTGATTGTGAGATCTTTGCATGGATCAATCGCCGTCGTTAAAACGTTGCTACACGAGTCAGATATCCAACTTCGGACTTTCCACCATGTGTGTATACATACGCGTATAGATATGTAAGCGTACGATGTGTGTGGTGAAATATGATCGGACACACGTAGGCGAATTTTTAAAAATTCTTTAACGAAATAATTTTCGATTGCACGAGTTCGACTAATATCGAAAGGAAGTTCAAGACAATAATATTGTATCGCTCTCTTATTTCGAGGACTATAAATGTACCAATCAACTGACACAGATCTCGCCGTGACAACACCTTGAAAATTTTTAAAGAAAAACAAGATACGCAAAACGCGTAAAATGATACATAAAAACGAGAAACAACACTATCCAACGTAATACGTATTCGCGATGCCTTTAAACGGAAACATAACGGTCGTTCAAATCTGAACGACAGTTAGCGACTCCTATATATCGATACGTCGAATGAAAATACGAAACGCGACAAAGAGAGAGTTCCGTAGCAACGTTCACGTCAGATTTCACCGCAATTGCTCAACGCACCGGGATGCCGACTGTTCCCGAGTGCCTTGGTACAATTCTAGAATAAACATTACACAAGTCACACTGCGAAACAAAGTTTGATGTTTCTAACCTCGTTCTATCGTTGTCGTCGTCGTTCGCGAAAAAATTATTATGTTAAGCGCGCGTGAAAAGCAAACCAGCCTTGACAGTGGCGAAAACTGTAGTTCCCTGTCAAGTTTAAAGCCGTCGCGATCGATCGACGCAAAATCTAATTCCCAACGAGTTAAGTTCGAAATGCAGTGAGCTTCAGTTAACCGGGCCAATTTCCGCGGTCACTGTCACCGTTAGATTCGCCAGTGTCCCGATTACTCCCTGGCTCTTCATTGTCAACCAGGGCCGCAGACAATGACCGAACCCCCCTGCCCCTTCTTGCGAAGGGCCATGAGACGCGCACACGGCACAATTAAATCCGAGGAAGCCGCGCGTACACACGTTCCATTCTCTCTCTTTCTCTCTATCTCTCTCTGTCTCATTTATTTACGTGACTTTTCGAGGAAGGGTTTGAAGAAAGACGATCAAAGTCTACGAGAGAATGAGTCGACCTAAAAAGCCGTCAATACCGTTGCACACACTCGAGAGAATATACAGTTATCCTGTTTGTGTCTCCAAGCATATCTCGGAACATATAATTTTGTACACACTTTCCCCATTGGTTTCTTCGATAGGCACGCAATTATAACAGTCCATATAATAGCCAGATTCGCATTGAGAAGAGCAGGCTCGAATGCTACAAAGCACAGAGATGTGCTCGCGCATTCTGTTTCACTCACCTGACTTTTCCGCCGCAGAATCGGCACGCCGAACCCTGCCAACCCTCGTGGCACACGCAGGTGCCATTGACACAGTCCCCGTTGATGCAACTGTCCGTGTCGCAGGTCGTATCCGTCGTCAGCGACAACGAGGAGGAGGAGGCAGCCGCGGTTACGTGCACCACCCAACAGATCAGCGCCGCCCACAGTATCGGCCACGGCACTGCAATTACACCGCACTGATCTCGTACCACCTCACGGCACTGCCCTTTCCGACGGTACTTCGATTTATATAGGAACAAAAACATCTGCACGACCTCTGCCATTTTGATAGGCTTCCATGTCAGAGACAATGGCCGACGGCGACGCACCGGACGAGATACATATGGGCACCTTCTCGCTCGCGTTTTGATGCAACTGGCTTACTCGCTGTGCGCTACCGAAGAGTGTGGTCGCCACCGCGCGGCTCTCACGGTTTCGCAACCACGAACTACGACATTTGCCGAAGTTTCAGCTAGATGGAATACTCTAGTGACATTTCTAGTATGGATAATTTTTGCGGATACCGTCAGAGAGCGCCTGAGACAAAAGCGCGATTGGTGCATTTTACCTAAAGAATTTAAACTTATTTTGAAATATAACTTTTAATTCAATTGTTAATATAGTCTGTAAATAGACTGTTGATTCGTAGAAAATAAATGATGTTATAGCAATTAATAAATTACTTTCATTTACCATATATTTTCTATTTTCCCTATACAGTATTACCGACTTAATGCGATCGAATTATCGACATAGTTTGTAAGATCGTGCACAGATGTCAGCACAATGTCGAATATCAACAAACTTTTTTAACTTTTATGTTTTTGTTCAATTAAAATCCCCCCTTTACTTTTGACTTTGTAATGTGAATATGGCACGTAACGTGGCAGTAATAGTGAAGATAACTTCGTTTACCTCGTTCAAAGCTATACTAAGCTTCAGTGTTTCTCGAGTCACTGACAGTCATAGCACCTCTAGTTGGTGGATAGATTATTAAGCAATAGCTTTAAAATTTTTACTCTTAGATTTAGATTTGCAGAAACTACAAATCTTAACCCATGTATATAACAACATAATAATCGTACTTGAACATTTGTTGAATAGTGCAGTAAATTGAACGCGTTTAGTGTTAGTATGTATATACAAGTACCTACATTTATATTTCTGAAGTTCTTGAAACAGCTAAAATTTCAAGGCATCCAAATCATCGATCAAGCTGAAATGTTGGGAGAAGGGAGAAGTGGAGCAAATCTTAAATACCAAATTTCATTATCGCCTTTTTAAAAGTTTCCAAGATATTAATTAAAACAATGCATTGAATTTTGTCTATACGTACACGCTTGTGACGACGTATGCGTAAACTGCGTAATCCCGCGGTAGTGGTGTGTAAAGCTATTTGAGCACAAAGTTATCCGTTATCGCAGGAAGTGACTAATAATGCGAAAGTCAGGACTGATTTTCGCCGATATCATTGAAATCTGGTAAATTTATGAATTTATATTTACAATAATTATGTTCAAAAATTTAATCGTAGATGGCCACTCAATTCCAAGGAAGGAGAATATAAAATTTGAAAAAGCCGGTTACGTCACAATAGTAGCGTTGTGATCGCCGCCACTGATTCATAGTATTTTGTCTAGAGTTCAAATCTCGCCACATCTTTTCTCATGATTTTTTTCTTTTTATTTTATTAAGCATTGCCGAACTCAATATTTTATAGCAATCGATTTAGAAGTTTAATAATCGGTCAGTTCCTTTAACAAATAATAACATGCAACGAGTAACTAAAGAGTAATAACCTCTATTTTCCCGCTTACCTTTCTCTTTCCATTAACTTTGCCTCTTGCGCCGGCAATTATTAATCTGTTGAACTAGTTCACTCCTTATACATGTCTTTTCCTTCGTTTTCAGAAACAGTACGAGAACAAAGGCTGCGTATTTACACAAACAGTAGTCACGTAGCAGCCATAGGCGTCGCATGTATATGCAAAATTCAATACACTGTTTTAATTAATATCTTGGAAACTATTAACGCAGCCAGCATTGAAATTTGGTATTTATGATTTACTTTGTCCCTCCCGTCCTCAAATTGAATTTTGATCATAGATACAAATTAATATTTAATTATACGTAATACCTACATTTATATTTCAAACCCAATATTTTCCTCACACGTATACTCACGAATTTTAACGTTTCAAATTTTTATACAATTACAATATTTTGTAAAAAATATTTCTCACGTGTACTAATAATCGAAACGCTGTTATTTCCTGCCATATTATTTCAATCTAATTTTTCCAATTCGTTTGTTAGATGTAAATGTCCAACTAAATCCCTTCCATGAATTCCTGAATCCCTTTATCGTCAAACGGACTCTTCAGAAAGAGAAATTTGATATCAACTCGTTTAAACAATGGCAGGGAAGAGAAAGGGGAAGAGGAAGGCGAAGAAGAAGCCCATCGATGAACTTCAGCTTCGTAGAGAATTAAGAAAACAAAGACGAAGAACAGACTTAATGGACACAGAAATGACTCAAGAGTTACCAGAACATCCTGAAGAAATCAGGATCGGAGGTATCGAGGGGTAAGTGGTTACAAGTATATTACTATTTTACTATCTCTCTCGCGATTTTTGCAATGTTTACTTGAATACATGAACTTTAACAAATTTCTAGCACGATTAAAAATTAAACAGTAGCATTGTAAAATTCCAGTTGCAACTATTAAGTTCATTCCTTGTTAACGTATTTCGATAAGATCCAATCAAAATCTATTCATCATCCTTGTTTTTGAAAATCGAATTTCAGAACTAGTATAGGAAAATTTATCCAATCACTGAATATTTACAAGTATATTAAAATGTTAATTTTCAAAAACAATGACTTAAATAAATCATTGCGCGAGATGGTCACCCAAAAATCCATTTTCAAATTTAAATTGCTAGTCCTTCCACAAGGAGAAATAATTGTACATGCTATGGATACGTACATCTGTTACTGCTACTAAATTATTTATGTATTGTATCAGTCTATAAACATCATAAATATGTTTAATCATGCGTTACTCAAAGGTAGAACTAAGACTGAAGGTCATCATCTTCGACATTTCATTTCATTCAAATAAAGTAATTTCACATGTTGATACTTTCGTTAATTAAATTTGAATTTCTTGGTTGGAGGTCATTTCAAGGTCATAGCATGCTAGGTCATTGAATTCGCGCTGACTTTATCATGCTATAATAAAAAATGACCTCAAAAGAATTTTTTTCCTATCACTATGTACATTTCAAACGGCGAAACTTTGTTCTCGAAACTTTTTTAATACAACGTTAATGGCGGAAATATTTAGGAAATATTAGAAGTGTTACCTTATCGGCGCTTATCAAGCTAAGTGAACATGAAAGTCAAGTACTTTTATTTCGAAATAAGATTCTAATAATAAAAATTAATTGATTTTCTTGTTTAGTTGGGACCAAACTTATACTATTTAACTTTTTGGACACCCTTCATATGTAAAGAGGCATATTTCTTTTTATATCTCTTCGAGAATTCAACAAATTTGCTACTATCGTTAGAAATAGTGGAACGATCGGAAATGTATCAGAAACTCGAGGAATTGTCAAGTAGAAAATTAACACGATATTTTTAATCATTTTCAGTGGCGCGACGCATTCCACGTTTATCATCATGGATGGAAAAGGAAAGGTATTAACGCAAGTGAATGGACCGAGCACCAATCACTGGGTAATTAATAACCAAACACTTTAAGAATTAGCCCCTTCTCTTTCGCATTTGCAATTTTTCATTTTCTGATAAATAATATGTTTATTTTTCTACTTAGTTGTTGGGAATGGATGAAACAGCTGCCAGAATCAACGCGATGGTGAATAAGGGGAAACAGGCTATAAAAATGTCTGAATTAGTTCCTTTAGATTGCTTGGTAAATATCGAATTACTATCACAATTCTAGTGAACCATATCTATAACTAATCTCTGACGGTCATCGTTATCGATGGTGTATTACATGAATTATTTAATTTCAAAAATGTATTGGTTAAATAATTAGTGTCTCAGCCTGAGTGGATGCGAAGAAGAAAAAACTAATCAGCAGTTAGTGGAAACAATACAACAAAAATACCCAAACATTGCTAAAGTTTGTGATATCCAGTCAGATACCATGGGTAGTCTCAGGACTGCTTTACCAAATGGAGGAATAGTTTTAATTGCTGGCACCGGGAATAATGCTTTGTTGGTCAATTCGGATGGGAAGACTATAACGTGCGGTGGGTGGGGACACTTCATGGGGGACGAAGGCAGTGGTAAGTGGTGGGGATTACTTATGGCACGATATATCGAAGCAGGAAATGACTTTGAATCACCGACATATTTAGTCAAAACTATAATGTAGAAGATATGTTGTTTTTGCCAGTTCTGCATAATTGTTACACAAACATATATTTTCAGCCTTTTGGATAGCTCATAGAGCTTGTAAGTATGTACTTGACGATATCGATGATTTCATACAGGCGCCTAAACCTGTAAATTATGTATGGGCAGCTATGAGACATTATTTTAACGTAACAAATACAAATGAGTTATTGCCGCATTTTTATAAAGACTTTAACAAAATCACTTTTGCTAAATTTACCATGGAAATTGTGACGGGCTGTGAAAAGAAGGATCCACTTTGTTTGCATATTCTCGCGGAAAATGCCAGACATCTTGCGAAACGTATTATAGTCCTCTCAAAGAAGACTCATAACGTGAGTAACTTGTCCAGATTAATAAATTGAACTAAAAATTGGAACACTGTACTTGAATAATTTACAAGATACAAGATCTTTTAGGACATTAAATTAGTTCACGGTGGATTGAAGATTGTCTGTATCGGATCAGTTTGGAAATCATGGGATTTTATGAAGGATGCTTTCCTGGATAAAATTCACGAATCTCGAACTTTGGATGAATTAACTTTGATTCGTTTAATAACATCATCTGCAATAGGTGCCTGTTATTTAGCCGCCGAAAAGATCAACTGGCTATTCACAAAACCTTATGAAAATAACATCGAAATATTCCATCACTATGTACGTAATAATTATGTAAAACCGGAAGCAACGAAAGATATAACGGAACATGAAAAATATGTTCTTTGTCGTAACTAGAAATTAATATAAAACCAAATAAAAATATAAATAACAATAATGATTATATTTTATTCAATACCAACAAATATACAGAAATTGGAAAGAATAAACCTCTTGTTTATTATATAACAATTGACAATCTCTTTCATTTAATTCGTCGTTAAAGATTTTATCACCATTTTTTGGCATATTGAAAATTAAATATTGATCATCCAATCTCTTTTTCTTCCTAAATTCTAAAGTGATAACAAAAAAATGATACTGAAAACAATTTGGGATTGCTTAGTCTGCAGTTTTCTGTTCATACTTAAAACACTGGGATACATGTTTATTATAATTGTCAGTTTGACATTTTTTATTACCTCTTCCTGCCTATTAATAGTCATAGTACTACAAATACTTGGTTATAGTTTTCCATCTAATTATGATGACTGATTTAAAAAAAGGTACTTATCTTTAAATTATTTATTATTTATAAAACAAACTAAATCAATAATGTAATAGTAAAAGGAATTAAATAATATATTTAAAGTCAAATATAACAAGTATCTGAAAAATATATTTTGACTCGATATCATAATTTATTGTGTACACATTAATATTCGTAACGTGAAAGCGCATTACGCAGGTCATATCTTGCATTCACTTGCTTGGATCGACTTTCACGTATTTTCGCACCAAGCACTGAATTCATGTTTATCATTATGTAATTTTTAATTTATCTTGAAATAAACAAATATTTTTTTTCTTTTACACCTATCAACTTGTTAAACATGAACATAGAACTTGGTATTAGTATAACAAATATTTTTTTCTAGATTTAACATTTTAAGGTACGTTTGTCAAAATATACATAACGTTTTCAACAATCTTTATTATACTAATGTGCTACGTGTACGCATTTATTCTCGACAATATGATGCGACATGTCGAAATACTTTTACATTCTAAAGTATAATCTGCTTCTCATGAAGTTCAACATATCAACGGTCAATGTTGATATCTATATTTTACAAGCAAAGACTTTTTAATTACAATCTTCTTTTATATTCCAACAGGAATTAACTATAATAATGCCTCGTTAATATCAACTATAAGAGACTTTATTAATATAGATTTCTCTCTCATTTCTGTTCAATTCGAAATAGCTTGATGGAATGCGTCTTTAAACTCGTTTTAAATCCGAAAGATTTTACCAATGCATTGTATATTTGGTTTTATTTAAATTACAAGAACTTAATTTTCTTGTCTACTCGTATTCGCTGTGTTTATCTTACTGGCCTATGCTGAATACGGAAATTCTAAAATTTACAATTTTTCAAGTATTGGTTACTATCAAGTTCATAAAGCAAAGTGTTTTGATGTTAAGAGGCATTATGGTATATATAACGTTATTCTGATATGAATGAACTTTTGACGACAGTATCATTCATATTAATATTACATTTTATGTACATTAACATGTATGCATGTTTGTATCTATGTGTGTGTCTGTATTCCCAATCACAACAAATTCTGATTTCGTATAATTTATAATGTTTCGTTCCACGATATCCGAGATATTATTGCTATTTACCATTTATACGAACATGTGACTATTAATACAAATCCATAACGATATTATTTTACTTTTATTACCCAAAGAAATACTAATTGAAAATGTTTTACACTTACTTTCTATTCGTTATGTTGAACGCGTCCAATCAATGTTTTAAATCAAATATCTCTATAAGAAGAGGTTCTACCCTCGATGGATTTAAATTAAGATATACCCCAACAACTTCGTTATTTAACCTATGAAGGTCTGAAATCTTCTGAATTAATTTTAGAAACATAGATTTAGCCTCACACCCAGGATACACACTTTCCAAGTAGCGTCTGAGCAAGTAATAATAAGAATTCTATAAAAGAAATATATTACCGAAATTTATTTGATTCATGAACATTGTACACAAAAAATTATGTTATACTTACCTGCTCCAATTTGATTACATCATTATGCACCACTCTTGGCCTATCAGGTGTAAATAAAGCAATTGCACTTAAAATTAAGATAATATTCTCGTCTCTCCATCTCGGATCGAAACTTCTGATAAATCTTGAGTGTTCTGCATAAAGATTTCCTTTTGCTTCTTTCAGTACATCCACTTTTATATTGGACATACTTTCTTGGCTATGTGGTATCCACCACATATCTTTCTCAATATCGTAATTAAGTGCCGATCTTAGAATCATCATTTCTGTACAGCCTCCTTTTAAAAGAGCTATTTGATCCTCCTGACACATATTCTTGAAGGCATTTATCTTTTTCGCCATCTTTATTAGGCGTCTAATGGCAATGGCAGTAAGATTTACAACATCTAATAATGCCGGATCAGATCGACCGAAATTATTCTGGAACCAAATATACGTTTTAATGAATGCCAACATATAAGATTATTTTTTAAGCTACTGTTAATGCTACCTTAAATTTACAGTCCTCTCCTATTAAATTTGTTATATCCTCGTCTAAAGGAGCTAATAACGCTTTGTTAGCTACTATTAATTCATTTAACTTTGCTCTTTCAGCATCATTCAATACCCTTCTAGTCTCCATACCACCAAGCGCAGAATATGCTGAAAACTCTAATTTAATTGCTTCACAAAGAATAGATTCAATGGAATTCGCGGCAATTGGTACTCTGAAACGTAATCAATAGACGGTATATTATGCAATGTTAATTTTTTACACATTAAACAAACGTCAATTTCAACGGTACCTTTGTACATCTTGAAGTACATCCCTTGTGACGTCCGATATATTTCTGTTCCAATCACCACCGGTATTAGATTCGTCACGTTGCTTTATACATTCCTCTTGACTTGAATTCGTAATTAAATCGGTTAAGATTGGATTTTCAACTTGTTTCTCTTTTACTTTCGCTGTTGACTTCAATAAATGACTGGAATTATTGTGATTAGATTTTACATCATCTTTGAAATGAGTATTCATTTCTTTCTCAGATAACGTCTCTTTATCTGAGACGATTCCGTTTTTCTTAAAAAATTGAGAAATCTGGGGATCTGCCTCTAATTTACTAATAACAGCAGGATCTGTCATAATTTTTAGAAGTAATTCTTCATTTTGAAATATTTTCGTAATAAAATTCGAATTATTAACAAGTTTTGTAATTAAAGTGGAGTCTTGTGGGACCTTATTACTAACTAAATTATCTTCTTTCATATACATTTCTTTATTTTGTTTTTGGCTAGTTACTGCTTCTTCTGAACCAATTTGTATACTCAAATGCATTCCTGGGTTCATATCTATATTGGTTTTCCTATAATGTGATGTGTGATCAATATAGTGGGAGTTTTGCATAGAGCTACAATCAAATTTACTATAACAAGATGCACTGTCAAATTCAGGAGAATATTTCATAGATTCATGGTTGGTAGAGGCAAACTCAGAATTTAAGTCTAATATATTTTGATCAAATTTTCTTGAGTTTATTACTGACTTTTTATCCTTTTCCAAATTATGAGAAGGTTTAACTTTATCAAACCTCTGCTGATTTTGTGAAGTAGAATTTGAATCCATTCTTATTCTTTCTGTATCACCTTCACTCTCTTCGTGAGAAGAAGAAGAATGAGCATAACTTTCAAAATTGGAATTTGAATTATGAGAAGATTCTTTCATCATATCTAGTGTCTTTGACCCTCTTATAGTTCCATTTTCTGGTGGACTAGAAGGACTAGGGACACTGGCTGCTGTCACAGGGCTCAAGCTCTCTGTTACACTTTGCCTATTAGCATCTAAGTCTGTATACTTCCTATCAGATTCCCAAAAATATGTGTCTGATGCAGTTGTTACGACTGAATTAACTGACATAGAAGTGTCATCAAAGTTACAATCATCTAAGCAACCCTTCTTAATCTTTGATGATTTTGCACCCTCTAAGGATGGTCTTTTTTTTGCACGATTCTGTTGTATTTTTTGTCTTTTTAGTACCTTATCCTCTTCAGACATAATATATTCTTTCCTCATGCCTATGCTGAAGCATTTGTCTAAACGACATTTTTGACAGAAACGTCTGGTGATAGGAGTTATATTACAATTCTCAGTAAATGGACACCGAAAATCCTGCAAAAATGTAAAAATAGTTTTAAATGAATAAATTAAAGAAAATTATCTTTTATTAGACAACAAACAATTTAAAAATACTTTAATATAAATTTTAATTCCTTTTTCCCTTGTCCTATTATTGTACTGTCACTATTTAACTGAAATCAAATTTAGTGTTTACATTTACATCACCTTATTGTATTATATTTAACTTAAATTTAAAAAATTGGCAAAACAATCAGATAATAATTTATCATATGTTTAGATGCATTTATGCGATATACATAAATTATCGGTAAAAACAACAATTCCAAATTAAAACAATAGGTCTACAAAAATCAAATATAAATATGCAAAAAATCCAAACTACTTACCTTATTTTTCAAAGCATTCCGACGGAAGAAAGCTTTGCAGCTTTCGCACGACACTGCGTTGAAATTATAACCGAGCGCGCGATCGCCACATACACCACAAAGCTTATTCGCATCTCTCGTTGGCTGTTCATCTTCCATTGCTCTTTGAGACGGTTTCTCGAGTGATTAACACTGTATCTAACGCACCATTATTCCCGCTCGGAATTACGCTTCTGCAACAACTGACTCATGTCAGCGTTGTTTTCATCGCACTGTTCGCGAAACTGATGAAATGAAATGCAACGATATTGCCGCGAATTTCACGAAACAAGTACCATTTTTAGTCCAACGCCCCGGATCTGCGAGGTACCGCTTGAAAAGCTTTAAGTGACAAGTTAAATGGACCACTCAATTGACATTCAGTTACAAGCAGTTAACGGGGTGGTGCGCACAAACCTGTCGTATGTTTCACTACTACATCCTCCCACTACATTGCTCATTGCCTGATAGTGACATGACGTCACTAAAGTAACCAGATCTGATCCATCTAGGGAGTTTTTGATACACTAATTTTACCAATGAAGAGAAATTCGTTAATACAAATTCCCGCGTAAAACGCACCAAACGAATTGTGTTTTTCTTTGATCTTTGATAACTTACACCGGTTCATCACTGTTTTAACAACACAGAGTTAGATTTTGAAGATTTTTTACGTCAAAGATTTTGCAAAGCGTACGTATTGCTAAACAGTAACTTGTATTCTGCTTTACATTAGAAAATTATCACTGCGATATGTACTGATAACGCGCTAAATTTTTTGCGATAGACATTAATTCTCACGCCAATAATCAGATTACATAATTAAGGGACAAATATTTAACGGATATCACATATGCACAAACAACAAAATCAAAACTCTGTGTTAAGCACCATCTTATCGTGATAAATGCATTAATTGTCTATCTTTATGTTCTTCTTAATTGTGTTGCAATCTTTGAGTAGTTGGTTCAAAGTTCACATGTACACGGGCTCACCACATGAAAACAACTGAAGTCAATTTGAAAATATAAATATATATATATACAGTAAAGTTCAAAATATACTACAGTGTATTAATTTATCCAAATAATTACAACACAAATTCACGTAATAGAAGATCATATGCATCCATGTGCAATACACAACTGCTCGTAGTTCTAAAAAGCTAAAAATTCAAGTGTTTACTCAGTTGGCGTTATCGTTATCAATCGTCGAACATGATTCGAGATAACTATGGCCGGATAAATTGCCGGCTTAACAATTCCAATTCATTAATTTCAATCGTGTGTGTATTGATAAATGGAGAATAGTATAGATTGCATACAACGGCTAATTGGATCTGTGCATGCATGGTTACTCGTTAATTTTTACGTCATATAAAAACACATATCAGATAAAAGCTTTAATAAAAACTTAAAGCGAGTTAAAACAAATTTCGCTACAAAGTGTTTTTGCTTTTTTCAAAATTAACTCTTTTTATTTTCACAATAACATGGCAAAATTTAAATGAATAGATAATAATGTACGGGTTGATTTGTATTAATCTGCACACTGATATATATCGAGAAGTACATGAAAATTAAAAAATTAAATATAAGAAAAAGAGAATGTTTCAAGGTCATTTATATTCTTTTAAATATGGCACTTAACAGTCTAGTAAGTAATTGGTATCAATTAAGTCTAATTAAGTTTCATTATCATACTAAAATTGAATATTGTAAAATATCATTGAACTTGACCTTAATACTCTGGCCTTTGATCTTTGTCCTTGATATTGTAACATAGTCCTTGACCTTTATAGTTTTATATATATGACAATTAAAAAAAAAACTTTGAAGTGACTTTGAAATTTTTACCCATTGATCTTATATTTTGATTTTAATATTTTTTTTTTCTCTTGAAATTCAGAAATTCAATATACTTCTTGTAATATATATATACACTTGTTAATTCCATTGAATTAGCTTGTATACAGTGCTGCAAATCGCATTATTCTTAACATAACTCTTATTTACATAATCAGTATTTGTAACAAAAATTTGTTTATGTAATCAGCAATGATGAAAAGGGTAGTTACCTTGATGAATCTAATTAGATCTAACTCCTTATGCTAAAATTATAATAAATCAAACAAAATGCGACTTTCCTGGCAGTATTTCAATACTCCATTTTCGGAAAAAATGTGTTATATACAAATCCATAAAATATATTATTATAGAGATTTTACAATTTCAATATTTCGAATTACCTTACGAAAGAAATTTATAAATGTGTATACACAAACGCAAATTATATATTGATATGCACAAAGCGATTACTCTTTTCATTACAAAAATAATATCTAGCATACATCGACATTTCTTAAATACGAATTCGAGAATCCAACCTTAGAAAATATACCACTTGTAAACGTTCGTATTAAAAATATACGTGCGTAATTCTTCTCGTCAGGCATCCGTTCTCTTTCTTTCTTCCTTTTAAATACTAAATATTTTTTCATGCGAGTACTTAATTCATATAAATACATTCGAACCTTATAAAAAATATACAAAGTAGTTTTGGACTTGTTACGAGTACAAAAAGGCACTTGAATAAACACATGCAAACTATTGTCTGAGCTTAAGTTCCTTTTAAAGCTCTCATTTAGGCAGTGTTTGCATTGTACAAGCTGGTTTGTGACAACTTCTAAAGATTTATTTGGATGGAGTATCAGTTAACTTAGTGCTTCCCATTTCCACGCCACAACTTTGAAGCACCAATTCCTCTCTCATGTAAAACATCACGATTTCCTCGACACTTGAGAACGATTCCTCGTTCACTTTTGCTGAGCCTAATGCATACCTATTAGAAAAATATATAATTCTCAACTTTGCTCTATTTCCTATCAATTTCTTGTTAGTACTGTACTAAATTTTTTTCCTCGCACAAAATACTGTTAGTAGAGTCTTTAAAATTTTCTTTTAACCATTTATTTCTGTAGAATATGTCCAGTACATAAGACAGATGTATACGGACTAAGGATGTCAGTGTGCAAAGGTTTCTTACCTGTTGTCAGGCCTCTTCCTGACTGGGACATTATACACTCTATCCTTGTACCAGAGTACCAGAGCCAAAGGATTGTTTACGTATGTCGTGGACGGTCTCAGGAGGAAATATCCGTCTTGAGGATTACCGTAAGTACTTCCTACAAGTACCAAATCGATTCAGAATGAATATATAATCAAATAAGAGAGCGTAGGTACAATCTATGAATTTTCTCATCTTCATAAAACACTAATGACTATGTCTGTTCTTACTCTAAGCTTATTACGAAAACTCACGTTCTTCGATAAGAGCTGTTGCTTGCTCTCTGGTAACATTGTGGAACCAAGGCTTGTCAACGTAGGATTGTCTTTCAGGCGGAGGTGGCAATGGTCTCGTGGCTCTTTCCGACGGTAGAGAAGTATTACTATTAGAATGAGGCAATGTAGCTGATTTCTTCTCAGGAGATCTCTCTGGAAATAATACAAAATTTATTAATTATTCGTAATCTGTTAAATACTCATCAAAAGTTAAATACGCAAGTAATGTTAAATACTCATGAAAAGTTCGATTTTATAGATTAATGAAGTGTACTTTGAAAGTGCATAAATTTGATACAGTTTGAGAGCAATGTTTCACTAACTTGCTAAGTTCAGACGGGCTTGAGTGAGGGCTGCTTGAGTCAAACATTCTGAAAGACTCGCCTGACGACGAATTGCAGTGTTCAAAGACACGTTTCTTTTTGGATCTCCAATTATGGTCGCCATTTTCACAAGACTTTCAGCTTTCACTCAGAGGTGACAAACTACTTGCAATCTTTCATGCGTTTATCAGAAGAATATGCACCAATATGTCATCATCGAGTCTTCTTGTATTCATGATTTAACGATTTCAACGAATTCTTTGTCCCGAAAACGAAATTTCCGCGTTTACTTTATACGGGTAACTGCGTTTGACCTGGGATAACGGATACAAGAATAGAACAGAAATAAACACTATTTCCGTCCTCAGTTTCACTCGCGGATTACTTTGAACACCGCAAACAGAATCAGAAGCAACGATCAGTTTCAAGGATTACAGGTTTCTCAATTTATGTACGTCCCACGTTAAAAATTAAACAGCAACGATATTCCAGAGTTTCATTAGCTAAGATTTAGAAACTGTAGAATCAAATACAGAATTCTATAGAACTCGTAACAAACACCAATCGATAGATTTGACGTTTTAGTCCGACCAAAATTTGAATCTTTTATTATGAGTCAAAGATTAATGGTTGAATGAATTGTTTATTAATCTAATTATTCGGAAGGAAATTATTTAAAAAAGTTCTCGCTGTATTATCGAATAAAGAAACTTCATGATAGAAGAACTACAAACGACCCGAACTCTACGAAATCACTGCATAAACTGGCATTTAACTAGAGGATCCACTGACTAAACTACAGAGTTTGGCCATCCGTTGGTCTCTCAGTATGGGGCATGCCGTCTCCCCAAAGTTTAAAAATATATCAACTGATCCATGCGTAGTATTTCGAGATTGTTTTAAGTCTCGGGACATTTCCAATTTAGGAAAAAAAGTATGTTAAGCGTTTATTGAAAAATTGATGATCCTACGAGTCAAGTTTGAACCGTGTACATAGTTATGAAAGAATGTACAAACGGTATGCTATACAAAGAATTCGCTTCGTAAGAGGTTCTTGTACCTGGTGGCTCAGGTGGTTGCGAGTAACAACACCGTGAAAGTCCCCGTTTGATCCTCACTATCATATCGGAAACCTCATCTGCCAGACGAGCGCCCAAACCTCCCAAGAGCTGTTTGCTCAGTCTCAGATAAAAGCAGGAACACATTCCATCCCACTGTTTCTTCTTCCGTTTCCGGCGATAAGATATAAATATATAATTTGTGTTTCAGCTTTTAGAAAATTGCGTTTTTCTCCAAGTATTACTTTCCTGTTCAATCGATGATTTCGAAACACTGCACTCGCCTCTATTACTCATATTATGCATTATAGGTTACGTGCCTTTTTATTTATTTTACTAATAGATCATTAGCGCTATTGAATCGAATTTTTGACTAAATATCAGTATTCGAATGTCTAGGTCAGAATGACTCGAGATAAGGAGAACGGTTGTTCGTTCATGACTGACTGCAAATGCAATGTGCATCAGGTTGCAAGGGCATCAGTGGCCGACCATTTGCTACACACATGCTTATGAGAAGTTGGGACACTGAGAACTTTTTACTCTTCCAATTTAATGCAGCCTGCACTTTTTATCTCATGGCTCGTAACACGTTGTATCTTCTATCTTCAATGTCCTCCGACTAATTTCTTTCTTTATTTTGGCATTTACGCTGACGTAAGAGAGACAGTCTTATCATGGGAACTACGTTGCTCTGTATTTACTATCATCATTACGTACATGTACAGGATGATTAAAAAATAATATTACGAGTAAAAATTATACAAACCTTTCAGCTTCTCTGAGTCGGCTCGGTTCAGAATTGGAGAGGGAGTAGTCGATGCTGGGGGAGGCTTTGCTGGCAGTGGCGGTGGTGCTTTTATATTCGTTTGCTTCTGAATGGGATTTAAATAGTACCCATTATCTGGCTGAAAGAGTAACACTCGTTCAACTTTTCATTGAATTAATTATTACAAAGTAGAGAAAGTGTTTATAAACTTACTATTTCAGTAATTGATTCATAAATCTCATAATGTTCTTCTTCTTCTTCGTAGCTTGTAACACTAGGTGGTTGATAAACACTTTCTACGGAACTCTGATGGCCACTAGTCAATGATTGTTTACTATCCACCCTTAACATGTTCCTTTTTTGATTTTGTTCAATTATTTGTTCATCAAATGCTTCATACTCGTCTTCACTTTCTTCTGTCTTTGTGGGCAAATTGGCAACTAAATCGAGACTTCTGAGTGTTATCGGAGGTTTTGTTTGATCCTTATTCAACTTCTCGATAATCACTGTTTGATCTTTATTCTTTTTGGGTTGCGGTGGAGGAGGTACCGTCATTCTTTCTAAAATCATTAAATGAAAAAATAATGTTCAGAAATCATCATATTAATATAATCTTATTGGTATTAAGGGATAATTAATTAAATTATCGGTTTACTAACTTTGTGTTTGATTAGAATTGTTTGGTCTGGTTTTCGATGTATTATGAAGAAACGACTTTCGCGGCTGAGTTAAAGCCAAAACATCGACATTTCTCATTTCCAACGATTTAGGCTTCGGTACCGCCATTGGTTTCTTGTTATTTCTCAATTTTAGTTGCTCCTTAAGTTGCTCCTTAAGTTGCTCGGCCAAAGACTTTTCCCCTTGGCCATGCAATCTGGACGTATTCTTGGATAGCACAGTTTCTGATTCCTGATAATTCTCGTACATGCTCTCTTCATTCTGAATGGGCCCACAATTGGCGTATGTCCCTTCTTCTTCTTGCCTGGGAACTTCCTTTGTTCGTACATCTTCTTCTTTAATATCTGTCTTCTTTTCTGATGCTTTGCGGTCGCTTCTAGATCCATAATTCGATTGATAGACCTTCTGGGTCCTCGATAGAGTATTTTCCTCAGTCGTTTCATCCTCAAAGTCAGTCCCCCAGGAACCGGTGTCGCTCAGGTGGTCTTCGGATAATTGAAGTTTAAGAATCTTTTCTTCTACGAATTTCTCCGGCGTTTTCTTCACTTCCTCCACAAATGTCCAAAGACTCCTAAAAAAAGGTGATAGACGTTTTGAAAATTTATCACTGGTAAGTCAATCGTATACAATAACTTTGTGATCATATAAGTAAATTGTCCGTGAAAAAATAAATGTGTGGTGACAAGAAAAATTTTAGTTAATATTAGTTAATATTATTTGATAAAAATAGTCGATGAATTAGTATGTTTAAGACAAGCCAGAAATATGTATTCGTTTAAAAGCTCTATTATATATTCCATATATTGCAGTATCTCTTTTATTCTTAGCATCTACTCTATGTACTCATATTTTCTAGAGACATTATCTCCTAATTGCTATAAGCAGCATGCTAATGTCACCATGTTAACAGTCGCGTTGTTGTCAAGTGGAATTTCCTTAATAAAAGAAGATAATAAATTTTGCGGCGTCAGTGGCGATATTGAATGATCGAGGGCGTCCCACACGATAGAATTACGCACTTATGGCACCAACTTGTATAACCGGAGCCATTCTGTCTTAGCGTGGCCTTCGGAAACGCTAGCTACGGCATATTTGGATTTTGTCCGTCGAGCCATTGAACTTCCCTCTCGGTATGCATACTGCGTTCCGCGACGCTTTCTATAGCATCATCGCTCGCCAAATTTTTCACCGACCTCAGCCACCGCGACGCTTAGAATGGCGGAGTAGAATAGCTGTTGTAATATCAACAGAATTCAAACAATTCGACGTCTTTATATGCTTGTACAGTTTCAAACGTTGACTCCCCTGTTGCTTGTGTGCGAACTTTGACTATAGAACGGAAATAGAGCACACGTTTCAACAATTGGACCATCAATAGATTAAAAAATTTATCAAAACGCTCGTTTCTCTTTGACCATGAAATACGTTCATAGAACAATGTTAATTTGCCGATATATCAGCAGGTACCGATTGCCATTCACTTGCAAAAAGTAAAATCGCAAGATTTGTCGAATAACACTTTCTGAATGGCGTGTATGAAGAAATACTTTGCTTGATACTTCGTAGATACAGATAGATATATAATTTTCATAATAAGAACTTATTTTAAGTACTTGAAGTTCGATACAGCATTAATTTTATTGCTAAGTATTAAAAGATATAAGAAGCACAAGGTCGTTCATCCGTTTTCAATGATCTCAAGGTGTAGCATGCAGTCACGTAAGCTAGCATTCCAGATTTAATCGAACGATAAAGTCGTCCAAACGGTCCTCTAATTATCCCGAACAGCGTGCTTTCAGAAATCGTGAAACACGCTTGGATGCGTATTGGTAATTGGTCAGCCGTTCACAATCCGAAGGCGTGTCTCAGGGAGATGCTTCGTAGAGAAGAACCGTTAGACCGTGACACAAGCTTCGGGATTTTACTTGGTCATGAGAACAGGTCCACACTGTTCCACCTTGTTCCACGGAGAAATGAGGCACGTCTGATATTTCGTTCTCTTACCATATCAGTGGACGTGTGAGGTCACTCTTCCACAGCGCCAGCTTCCCTTCCGTCAAGTGCTGGAATAATTACAATTAATTAAGAAGAGTATAAGAGAGCACGCGCCGGTTGGATTCGGAATAATAGCACGAGTTATGAATGAAACCGTTCGTTGCATTGTCCTCGCGTTTTCTCTTTATTCAGTCATTTGGAAACTTGTTTCCCTCCACATCGTATAATTTAACAAAGATAATACATGAACCTTTCTTCTATTCAATGACATTCGTACCGTGAAAGTAATAAAATATGGTTATTCCAGTTTAGCAATTGCCTCGATGGAAAAAGTTCTGAAAATTTTCTTAGCTTATATTTTTATAGAATACAATTATTTTTATCGAGTAATTATCCTCGATTTAAATTCATACTAGATGAAGTCATTACTCTCACAAATGTTCCACCGCCAATCTATACAATAGGTAGTTATCGGTATACCATGTAATGTCAATATACCGATAGATGGCGTAGACGTTGATCAACGACGTGCAAATAAAAAGGAACAAGAGACCATGTACTGAACGATTTACTCACCAGCAGCTCATCACCATCGATCTGTCGTTTTGTGATAGCTTTGCAGCATTCTTCCAGGCCATTCTGCAAAAACGAGGATAACTCGTCCAATCAAATAGGATGTGAGTCACTGATAATACGAACTTATGTATCTCATGCAGACATTTACGCTGTTATGACAACAGATCTAACAGGATAGATACATACAAAATGTTCTTTTTTTTTTTTTTTTTTT